CATCACACACATTGAGAACAGTCAGTCCAGCAATCTACATACATAAATACATAGAACACCAAATACCTGCGTATTTTGTCGGCGTATTTTATCAGCCTATACAATATGCAGCGTGTCCCACAAAATGTGTACATATATAACTTTTTTGAAAACTCTCAAAACCTAACTTAACTTACATAAATTGCACTGGAAATTGGTGGTCAGCTAGCTAGAAGGGTGTATTTAGTCGCCAAACGTATCGTTATTTTCCTGTCCATTTAAATGTTGAGCTCGAGGTGAATTAGTCATCCAACCGCTAGAGAGTGTCCAAAGTTAGGGGGTGTCCGATGTTTGGGGAAAATTAGCTAGAATGGAAGCAAATGTATGTAATTATAACGTCATAACGAATCATGCAAAAAATGTACAGTATGTTAGTTACTGTAGAGACAAACGTTTATGCATATTTTTTTGACATAAAGTTAATTTGCGAAAATCGCTATTTAGCAAGATAGCTGACTAGCTAACATTAGCCAGCTAGCTGGCTAGCTTTCATTAGCGTTGTGACATAAGTATGACACTGTAATTCTGGTTGTTTAATGTTTTAGGGACTCCTCAAACATCCAGCAAACCAGGCTGTTGTCTTGTGAAACAGTGGATGTAAAGAATCTAACTAGCTAAAGCATTTACTGCGAATTGAATGTACAGTTTTGTAAGCTTGCCTTGCTGATATTTGCCATCAAATGCAGTTGAAGTAACGTAGCTAACTAACTATTTTCTTGCTTATTGTGCTTATTGTGCAGTGGAGGATAATCAGCCTTGAGCTAGCCTCGAGTCAGGCCCATCTCCCGGCTATCTACCTCTCTGTCAACCGGCCGGGACCTCCTAGAGTCGACACGGAGCCCGCCGATCCATCACGACTGGTCTGCCGACGTAATCGTCTGTGGTTTCAACAGACTTCCCGTTGCGACGACCACGAAGATCCATCTGCTAGCCCCGGCCCGCTAGCACACGCAAACAACAGCCGTGCTTCCTGCTAGCCTGTGCTGTAGCACCAATTCACATATTGCTGTTCACTGGACCTTATGATCACTCAGCTGCACAGCTGATGCCTGCTGGACTGTTCCTTTACACGGTACCCTGTCCTGTTTATCTGTTTAGCCTCAGCCCAAACGTTCATCGCCATTACCAATTGTTGTCTTAGCTCTCTCGAATAACACCTGTGATTGCTTTATGCCTCTCTCCCATGTCAAAATGCCTTGCCTATTGCTGTTCCAGTTAGTTCTTATTATACAATTTCACTGTAAAGCCCCAAGTCCCTCTCAAACTGCCTCAAATAGCTCCTTTGTTCCACCCCCCATACACACGGAGACCGGTTCAATCGGTGCCTCCAGTGATGCTATCTCTTTCATTGTTACCCAACGCTTAGGTTTACCTCCACTGTACTCATATCCTTCCATATCCTTGTCTGTACATAATGCCCTGAATCTATTCTACAACACCCGGAAATCTGCCCCCTTTACTCTCTGTCCCCAATGCACTAGAAGACCAGTTCTTAAAGCCTTTAGCCGTATCCTTATTCTATTCCTCCTCTGTTCCTCTGGTGATGTAGAGGTTAACTCAGGCCCTGCAGCCCCCAGTATCACTCCTACTCCCCAGGAGCTATCATTTGTTGACTTCTGTAACCGTAAAAGCATTGTTTTTTTTTGCATATTAACATCAGAAGCCTCCTCCCTAAGATTGAGTTATTCACTGCGTTAGCACACTCCGCCAACCCTGATGTTCTAGCAGTGTCTAAATGCTGGCTTAGGAAGGCCACCAAAAATTCAGAAATGTCCATCCCCAACTACAACTGCCAAAGGGGGTGGAGTTGCTATCTACTGCAGAGCTCTATCATACTATCCAGGTCTGTGCCCAAACAGTTTGAGCTCCTACTTCTAAAAATCGACCTTTCCAGAAATAAGTCTCTCACTGTTGCCGCTTGCTACAGAACCCCCTCAGCCCCCAGCTGTGCCCTGGACACCATATGTGAATTGATTGCCCCCCATCTATCCTCAGAGTTCGTACTGCTTGGTGACCTAAACTGGGATATGCTTAACACCCCGGCCATCCTACAATCCAAACTAGATGCCCTCAATCTCACACAAATTATCAAGGAACCTACCAGGTACAACCCTAAATCCGTAAACATGGGCACCCTTATAGATATCATCCTAACTAACTTACCCTCTAAATACACCTCCGCTGTCTTCAACCAGGATCTCAGCGATCACTGCCTTATTGCCTGCGTCCATAATGGGTCCGCGGTCAAACGACCACCCTTCATCACTGTCAAACGCTCCCTAAAACACTTTAGCGAGCAGGCCTTCCTAATTCATCTGGCCCAGGTATCCTGGATGGATATCGATCTCATTCCGTCAATAGAGGATGCCTGGTTGTTCTTTAAAAGTGCTTTCCTCTCAATCTGGACCCCTACAAATCATCTGGGCAAGACAATCTGGACCTTTTCTTTCTAAAATTAGCCGCCGAAATTGTCGCAACCCCTGTTCAACCTCTCTTTCGTATCGTCTGAGATCCCCAAAGATTGGAAAGCTGCCGCGGTCATCCCCCTCTTCAAAGGGGGTGACACTCTAGATCCAAACTGTTACAGACCTATATCCATCCTGCCCTGCCTTTTAAAAGTTTTTGAAAGCCAAGTTAACAAACAGATCACCGACCATTTCGAATCACACCGTACCTTCTCCGCTATGCAATCCGGTTTCCGAGCTGGTCATGGATGCACTCAGCCACGCTCAAGGTCTTAAATTATATTATAACCGCGATCGATAATAGACAGTACTGTGCACCTTCTTCATCGACCTGGCCAAGGCTTTCGACTCTGTCAACCACCGCATTCTTATTGGCAGACTAAATAGCCTTGGTTTCTCAAATGACTACCTCGCCTGGTTCACCAACTACTTCTCAGATAGAGTTCAATGTGTCAAATCGGAGGGCCTGTTGTCTGGACCTATGGAAGTCTCTATGGGGGTGCCACAGGGTTCAATTCTTGGGCCGACTCTTTTCTCTGTGTATATCAATGATGTCACTCTTGCTGCCGGTGATTCTCAGATCCACCTCTATGCAGACGACACCATTTTGTATACATCTGACCCTTCATTGAACACTGTGTTAACAAACCTCCAAACAAGCGTCAATGCCATACAACACTCCTTCCGTAGCCTCCAACTGCTCTTAAACACAAGTAAAACTAAATGCATGCTCTTCAATCGAACGCTGCTGGCACCCGCCCACCTGACTAGAATCACTACTCTCGACTGACCTAGAGTATGTGGACAACTACAAATACCTAGGTGTCTGGTTAGACTGTAAACTCTCCTTCCAGACTCACATTATGCATCTCCAATCCAAAGTTAAATCTAGAATCGGCTTCCTATTTCACAACAAAGCCTCCTTCACTCATGCTGCCAAACATGCCCTCGTAAATCTGACTATCCTACCGATCCTTGACTTCGGCGATGTAATTTACAAAATAGCCTCCAACATTCTACTCAGCAAATTGGATGTAGTCTATCACAGTGCCATCCGTTTTGTCACCAAAGCCCCATATACTACCCACCACTGTGACCTGTACGCTCTTGTTGGCTGGTCCTCACTACATATTCGTCACCAAACCCACTGGCTCCAGGCCATCTATAAATCACTGCTAGGAAAATCCCCTCCTTATCTTAGCTCATTGGTCACCATAGCAACACCCACCCGTTGTATGCGCTCCAGCAGGTATATCTCACTGGTCATCCCCAAAGCCAACACCTCCTTTGGCCGCTATTCCTTCCAGTTCTCTGCTGCCAATGACTGGAACGAACTGCAAAAATCTCTGAAGCTGGAGACTCTTATCTCCCTCACTAACTTTAAGCATCAGTTGTCAGAGCACCTTACCGATCACTGCAACTGTACACAGCCCATCTGAAATTAGCCCACCCAACTACCTCATTCCCATATTGTTATTTATTTTGCTCATTTGCACCCCAGTATCTCTATTTGCACATCATCTCTTGCACATCTATCATTCCAGTGTTAATACTAATTGTAATTATTTTGCACTATGGCCTATTTATTGCCTTACCTCTATAACTTGCTACATTTGCACACACTGTATATATATTTACTGTTGTATTTTTGACTTTATGTTTTGTTTTACCCCATATGTAACTCTGTGTTGTTGTTTTTATCGCACTGCTTTGCTTTATCTTGGCCAGGTCGCAGTTGTAAATGAGAACTTGTTCTCAACTGGCTTACCTGGTTAAATAAAGGTGAGAAAAAATATATATATACCTGTATGCCTATGGATGTGTAGCTAGCTATGAAGCCGATCTGTGTATGGACCCTAAAACGTTTGGTATAAATATTAGTTCAGAACCTAGCTATGAACCTCAGCTATCATAGCCGGTTGTATCAACTTCAAAACAGTCTGAATGACATTAATGAAGCCTATGGATTGAGTAGAATATAATATAACTTTGTGCCAAGGATGCACGTCGTATATACATGTAGTTATTACCATGCATGAGATCCCCACATTGTAGCCTGTACATTGACTATATTCACTGATCATGTACTCTACCTTGGCAAATAAAGGTGCAGTTCAGGTATGAATGTCTGTGAGATTATTTTTCAGTCATATCCAATACCAGGAGTATCAAACTCCAGTCTTTGAATGATGCTCTGTCTGCATGTATGTATTACAACTATACACTTCAACAGTGATTACCAATCCTGGTCCTGGGACATCAATGGTTACACATTGTAACTATGCAATAGACTAGAAACATGATTTATCTAGTTAAAGGCTGATTTGTAATTCAGATGCTGGATGTGTAGCCTAACCTCAAACCACAGTGCAATTGTAATGTCTCCAAAATTGTCAGAGGGCGCAGTTCCTGATCGAGACACACGAGGACCCTAAACGGCTTTGAAGGATTGGTAAAGCTGTTTTAACCCGAAATTATACAGAATGTACTGTCGGATGGTAGGCTATTTGAGGAGCGCTCCGCGGCATCTATCTCCGCCATTTCTCACTGAGTTGAAGCATAGGTTGGGCTTCATTCTAAAGTCAACCTCTCCGCTAAAACACTGTCCAATTTGGAGTAGGGTTTTATCATGCTGGAAGGACGCTATTTTCTAGCGTCTTTGACGCGCTGAGTTTATTATTTGTTTTGTTTCTGCAAGATGGAGCCGCAAATGATGTCCTGCTTCGTTTTCTTGGCTCTTGCGTTTTCAGAAAACGTCGGATGTTCTAGAGGAAGGGTTGGACCTAAAGTGACCGAAAAGGTTTGTAGAGCATCGTGCTATCATGTTATTTTATGCGACGTCGGAGCATACACAAACACAGGCTTGCATCACTGGGGAATTTGATGGAAGCCTTCAAAGAACAGCTGCGGTGTTGAATACATAGCACGAGAGCCTACGTGTTCATAACCGGTGAAGCGCAATAACAGCACATTGCATTTATCCCATTCTAACGTTAAATGTCTTGGTAGCTTACATGTATCGACATAGTAGCCTAGGCATACAATTTCAGGAGCCAGGATTAGTTAACCGGAGATTAAACTCAACATAGCCTATTTTTATGTATTTATTTTTTATACAAGTAGGCTGGCTACTGCCAAATGGCCAAGGCATGGAATGGAAGGAGTCGGACTATAATAGCCTAGGTAAGGGGTATTCAAATACAATTTTAGAAGGTCCAGTCACACACATTTCCTAAGTGGGAAAGGTCCTGATAGAATAGATATTGTCATTTATCGGTGCTCTAGTACAGCATAGTAACACATTTACCATTGCCCATATTATGATTTGGGATACATGGTTTTATATCAAATGTTTTCAGGACTACTATTAAATGCATTAAATTAGATACATTTGAATGAATTACAAACAACTTCTTTATTTTGACTGTGAAAATGTGCATTGTACAGGCTGCACTGTAGTAGTAAGTAGGCTATTACTATTTGTCATGCTGCTTCAAAGATTTAAGAAATTAGTACAACAAAAAGGATTTAAAAAATGAATGGTTTCTCTTTTTATAAAAATATAATAAAGTGCACATTTGTGACAACATTGCTGAAGAACAAAAGTGGTTGCATAGTAATCTGTATTCAAAAAAGTCACTGAGCCAATGTACATGGGCCTTGCATTTCTCTTAATTGAATAAATAATAATAATAAACTAAAGTGCACATTTTATGGAAAACAACAGAGAGTCCAATAGAAAAGAAAATCTGAGTGCACAGACTGTGTTCCATGCATGCACAAGTCACTCTGGGCCTTGCATCAATGACTAATGAGAGAAATTACACTTTTTTTCTCCTGCCAATACTTTGAACTTTGGCAAAACAAAAATGGTGTGAGTGCAATTCTAAGACACTGGTGCAGGTGTTCATTGGTGAGCCTGGTGCGGTATTTGGTTTTAATAATGTTAATTGTGGAGAAGGCTGACTCAGGATGTGTAGTTCCATTTTGTTTAGAACAGGGAAACCAGCTGCGGGCACCATCTTTCCCCAGAAACTGACAGGGTCACAATCACCAACCTGCTCTTTCAAAGCCACATTTTCTTGCAGTTCAATCAACTCCATTTGTAGTGATGCAACATTTACCCATCTGAAGGTCTGTTTCGCTTCCTCTGAAGGGGTTCTGTATGAACAGCAGCAGTTGTCTTCCAAGAGCAAAGTCATCAAAGCGAGCCTTGAAGTTATCCATCAGCTTCTGTATGAAATCACCATGTTGGGGCACATCTTTCTCTCCCTGGGTTTCCCCCAAAAGATTGGGGAAGTAGACAAGTTCTCCCTGGAGATCAGTCTTGAAAATCTCACATTTCCTCTGGAAAGCCCGGACTGCTGTTATCAAATCACACACTGTGTTGTTCTGTCCCTGCAGCTTAACATTGACCTCATTAAGATGTGATGTAATGTCTGCCAAAAATGCAGCTGTTTGCATTTTCTCCACATCTTCCAAAAACTCTGTAAACTGAGTTGCCTTTTCACGGTTTTGCTCTGATAGGAAAGATTTAATCTCCTCCCGAATGGCCCAAAATTGTTCCAAAACTCTGCCTTTGCTGAGCCATCTGACATTGTTGTGCAGTAGTAAGTCATCATAGCTGGCATTAACCTATGTCAGAAAGCCTCTTAGCAGATGATGCTGTAGGGATGATGCTCTCAAAAAGTTTATCAGTTTCATCATTGTTGTCATGACCTCAGCATACACTTCTCCCAGACTGGCACACAGGACAGATGGTGGATGATGCAGTGGTAAGATATCAGGTCAGGGTGGTCCTCTTTCAAACGTGCAACCAGTCCCCTCCCTCTTCCTATCATGGCTGGAGCTCCATCTGTGGTGATGGAAACCACTGATTTCAGATCTATCCCCCTTTTTGTCAGCATCCCTTTGAATGTCCTCTCCTCGTGTGTGTGCTTCAAGAGTTGTTAAACCCAACCGATCCTCACAGAATTCCTTTTTTGTTTTTTCATAAAATCTCACAAATACCAGAAGCTGGGCATAATCGGTGGTATCTGTTGATTCATCCACAGCTTAAGAAATGTATGGTGCATTCTGAATGGCCTCATCAAGTTGTGAAATCACGTCTTCAGTTATTTTCATTGCTGTGGAATCTGACAGTGGGATCTGTTTGATCTTTTCCTTCAGCTCATCTTTTTGTTTACCATCAAGCAAGGTCTCAGCCACCACTCATGCATTCTTTAACCATCTCTGCGTCAGTAAATGTTTTCCCAAAACCCAAGCTATTCTCAATGAGCACTCCATTGCACGTTCTTGGGCTGTCAGGGAATGCACAATAACTTCTGTGTTTTGGGGATACGTTTGCTCGAAATGACTGTGTTTTGTGTCATAGTGGCCCTTCACATTGGCACATTTCACGAGCGCTACGGACTCTGAGCACATCAGACACATTGGTTTTGAACTTGTTGCGGGGAGAATGAATGCGTACTTGTCTGTCCACTCATCTTTGAAAATGCGATTTTCGCTATCAACTTGTATTTTCTTTGAACAAGCCATCCTCACATTCACAATGTCTATAGATGGACGTATTTCCGTGTGTGTCTGCATGCTGCTTGCTCCAAGTCCCAACACCTTCTTTCACTGTCAAAGATATTTGCATATATTTATGCGATTGGATGAGACTCATTTGCATAAATGCACGCGATTAGATAGGACGTGGCCCCAGGCTGTTGTTTCATCACCACTGCTAGTGTCACGATCGATACATGATGAAGCGGACCAAGGCGCAGCGTGATAGGCGTACATACTTTAATAAGTGTACACAACACGAACAAAAACAACAAAACGATACGTGAAGTCCTAGGTTAATAACACAAACCTTAACGGAACAAGATCCCACAATAAACTGGTGAAAACAGGCTGCCTAAGTATTGTCCCCAATCAGAGACAACGAGCTACAGCTGTCTCTGATTGGGAACCACCCTGGCCAACGATCTAGAACAAAACCCATAGAAAACTAAACATAACAAGTCCACACCCTGGCTCAACATTTAAGAGTCCCCAGAGCCAGGGCGTGACAGCTATAGACAGAGAGAGGCTGCGCTGCACTTGGGAAACGGCGCCCGGTCGATCATGTTTGAAAGCTGGGCCGCCATTTGAGTATGACTGGCCTAGATATTCCATATAATATGCTACACTCATTCCCCATTGCACCATTTAGGGAAATATCCTTTATAAACGCAGCTTGTAGGCCTATGTTTATGGGATATCTCAGCCATTCAAATGTTTATAATAAGTAATTACAATCCATAAGTGTATAAATAAAAAGTGGGCCTATTTAGGCAAACTTCAAAGTTTCTGATTTTTCTACTCTCATATGCCACCAGTGCCCACCACCATTACGCTAAAGTGACTTCAAGCCTGTGCAACTAGATTAGACATTTTCTTCAGCTCACCAAGATATCATAGGACTCAAATATGATCACTTCTGTTATACATTTCTCAACAAACTCTGCTCTATCAACTCTACTGTATAATTATACTGTAACTCTACAGTATATGAATCCATAATTGAAGCTCGTATGTTTTGTGTTTGTCTCCCTATCCCAGGTGTTCTTTGACATCACTGTGGCAGGTCATGAAGTTGGCCGGATCGTGATTGGCCTGTTTGGAGATGTTGTTCCCCTGACTGTGAATAACTTTGTGGCTCTTGCCACAGGGGAGGTAAGCCTACTGTACGCTGTCTGTGTGAAACCTGTTATTGTTGTGTGAGTAAACAACACAGAGGAAAGCATCTGAATACCAATATCCATCCATAGATCATAGGTCTTCTTAAGAGTTGACATGATGTTGCTTTGGACAGAGTAGACTGAACATGCAGTCTTCATCCCAAATGGCACCCTATTCCCTAAATTGTGTACTTTTGACCAGGGCCCATAGGGCTCTTGTCAAAGTAGTGCACTATGTTGGGAATATGGTGCGATTTACAGTATCCTAGTCTAACACACGGTTGCTAGCTAATAGATCACCAGCGTATTTCTTGCAGATTTGCAAATAAATAAACGATACAATCATTAGAATTTCCAAAATCAGTGGGCCCATCCCAGAGGGCACCCTATTCCTTATAGAGTGCACTACTTTTGACCTGGGCCCATAGTCTCCAGTTCCAGTGTCTCCATTGACATTGCTAGTGATTACTTTAGGGCACTTCCACGGAAACCGAATTACACTTTGACTCAGATTTTTCACTTTAAAATGTATGCCATTGATTTCCAAGTTTAACAAACCATATAATTTCCAAAATCATTGTTTTTGCAGAAAGGATATGGCTACAAAGGAAGTGCGTTTCACCGGGTGATCAAGGACTTCATGATCCAAGGGGGTGACTTCACAGCTGGAGATGGAAATGGAGGTAAGAAAGATTGAAGTATGATCATGTAGAGTTTGACCTGTCTTAGACATTTGATCTCATGTTGAATGTTGGGAATAGTAACAACAATAATAATTCATTTAATTTGTAAAGCGCTTTTCTTATAGTGCATCAACAAAGCAGAAAAGTTGGTTATGTACACTCCCCTAAAGTTCTCAGTGGGGCCCATCCCAGAGGGCACCCTATTCCCCGTAGAGTGCACTACTTTTGACCTGGGCCCATAGTCTCCAGTCCCAGTGTCTTCATCTGTCACCACACAGTCCCTAAATGCTGTTTCCTTATTTGCTGGCACAGGTAGAAGCATTTACGGCAACCAATTTGCTGATGAGAACTTCAAGCTGAAGCACCTGGGAGCTGGTTGGGTCAGCATGGCCAACGCGGGCCCAGACACCAACGGCTCCCAGTTCTTCATCACTGCATCCAGGGCTCCTTGGCTGGACGGGAAGCACGTGGTGTTTGGGAAGATCCTGGAGGGCATGGTAAGTGGAGGCACACTACTGGAGGCACACAATTAGTTGTTAGAGTTTGAATTGTTTTTGTGGCCACAGACATTGGAAAAGCATCTGTCACTCACACATACACACACAAACACAGGTTATACACAGTGGTCCAATTCATCACTAATACATATTCAAATCTTTTCAGTCTGTGGTTCACACCATCGAGCTCCAAGACACAAATGACCGGAACCTGCCCTATACAGAGTGTGTCATTGTCAACAGTGGGAAGATTGAAGTCAAAGAGCCATTTATTGTGGATGTGGAGGGTTGGTAGGGTTATCACTACATGTGTTACTGTATTCAGATAAATATTATGCAGAGTTTGTTTATGTTTACTTATTACTAGAGCATATCCGTGGCTCTCTAATGGGTATACTAACTATTAACAAAATGAATACAATGAATTCAATCATGATGAGAAGATGTCATTTACAATGAATATGTTAAAACCGTTGTATTTAGTTTATAGTTTGTTAACCTACACTCATTAACTGCCAACATGATCAGTATGTCATTTGCACTATCCACTCAGCACTTTGTCACGCTAAGCTGAAACAACTTTTCGTTTTTACAATGTTGAAACGACTACACAAAGTATGCAATACTTCACTTATTTTGACATATGTTATGCATCAAATGTCATCACAGCAGCTGTATGATGTTAAATGTGTCTGAATATGTTAGTGAGGTTCCCTTTGTGAATATGTTGCGTTGTTATGGTTAGTATGTTTTTCTATTATCTATGAGAAATGCAATTGTGGGGATTCATCTGGAAGATGTAGTAGCAAGCTGAAAAGTTATTAATATTTCAAAAACAATTGCACAGCAAAATTATATCAATGCATTCCTCTTAATGTGCTTAGGTAAGAAATATACCTCTATTGATATCAGTACTAAAAAAAAATTGACATTGTTGGTGATTACTTTAGGGCACTTCCACTGAAACCGAATTACGCTTTGACTCAGATTGTTCACTTTAAAATGTATGCCAAACAACAAACATTGATTTCCAAGTTTAACAAACCATATAACTCTATGCACAAGGACTACTTTGAACAATGTACACTTACATTTACTAAAACTGTTGTGCAGATGCAAAGTTTGGTAACAAAATTACAGTAACATCTCCCTCAGTTTTTTATGCGACCACATTTTCCAATAATTAAGATTCAAAGATGTCTGCAGAAAGAATTGGGTGTCAGCTATGACATGACACGTTGAGTTTGAAATAATTTATTTTGGTTATTAAACTACAGTAGGTGAAGTGGATTTACATCTGGTAATGGAATTATGGTAACGGAATTACATCATGGATCCCTGGTCTGTATTATACAGAAATGCATAATTATGGATATGAATATCATTCTCTTCATGGTGATATATCCTGAATAGGTACACAAAGGTAGAAATATGCAAAATCCTTGTTTTGAATATTTGGGTTTTATTCTACACACTGGCTATTATTGGGTAGATGTTGGCCAAGACCACTTTTCCATCTGTTTGACCAGAAATCAAAGTCCAAATGAAAAATTGTTAAAAAATTTATATATGCCTTCATTTCTCAAAAATATAGACTCTTAGCTTTGATTTGACACCCAATTTGACATGCTCCTATGAACTTCACATGTTCATGCGCATTGATCCTTTTGGATGGAAATGCCCTTTATTCAATATGTTAAACAGGAATAATTTTCTTTTTAATTTTTCATCAATAGATAGTTGTTTTAAAAACCTTGAAATTCATAAATCTTAGCAGAAACAGTAGCTCGCCATTCAAAGATATCCACAAGCATATCATATACAATCATATCATTAATTATTTGCAATGCAATAATAGTAAATGAAAGTGTCAGCAAGTGTATTTTCTACAATAAAATGCTATTGTAAGAATGTCTGAATGTACTGGTTCTTATTTTGTTCATATTGACCTCAGTCTCAAGCTATGTTTCAGTATATTTTCTAGTGTTTGTTTGCATGGCTATTTTTCCACACTCAGGTTAATTACGAGTCAGCTTACAAGTTCATCAATTAATACAACAGGAATGGGTCATTCTGCCTTGCAGATGGGATGGGATGGAAGTTGGCTCTCTGTCCACTGCATGGCTGTGAGAGGCTATGAAGGGATGACAGGCTTCATTACCAACAATACTGAGCAGCATGCAGGGCTCCCACAGGACCATCAGTGCAGGATGATGGGACAGTACACTGGATAGGTCAAGAGCAGACAAATCAGCATCTCAGAAAGAAAGCCTGATATAACCATAGAACCATACAGACCAATGCAAATACAGATCACTTGATATCTACTTTATCAAGATGGTGATGTTAGAAATGTTCACAATTGTAGCATGCCTCAAATGATGCACTTCCCTGCTCTATTAAAACAAACTAGCGATATCTGATTGTATTGTTTACATTGTGTGGATGTCACATACTGCTGAATTACAGACACAAATGGTTTTGTATTGTAGGCTAAACTTGAAACTCTCGGGCCGCCTATGGATGTCTGCATTTGAAACAGCCTTGTTGTGACTTGATAGCGCGTATTATGCATCTACAGTGGGGAAAAAAAGTATTTAGTCAGCCACCAATTGTGCAAGTTCTCCCACTTAAAAAGATGAGAGAGGCCTGTAATTTCATCATAGGTACACGTCAACTATGACAGACAAAATGAGAAAAAAAAATCCAGAAAATCACATTGTAGGATTTTTAATGAATTTATTAGCAAATTATGGTGGAAAATAACTATTTGGTCAATAACAAAAGTTTCTCAATACTTTGTTATACACCCTTTGTTGGCAATGACACAGGTCAAACGTTTTCTGTAAGTCTTCACAAGGTTTTCACACACTGTTGCTGGTATTTTGGCCCATTCCTCCATGCAGATCTCCTCTAGAGCAGTGATGTTTTGGGGCTGTCGCTGGGCAACACAGACTTTCAACTCCCTCCAAAGATTTTCTATGGGGTTGAGATCTGGAGACTGGCTAGGCCACTCCAGGACCTTGAAATGCTTCTTACGAAGGCACTCCTTCGTTGCCCGGGCGGTGTGTTTGGGATCATTGTCATGCTGAAAGACCCAGCCACGTTTCTTCAATGCCCTTCCTGATGGAAGGAGGTTTTCACTCAAAATCTCACGATACATGGCCCCATTCATTCTTTCCTTTACACGGATCAGTCGTCCTGGTCCCTTTGCAGAAAAACAGCCCCAAAGCATGATGTTTCCACCCCCATGCTTCACAGTAGGTATGGTGTTCTTTGGATGTAACTCAGCATTCTTTGTCCTCCAAACACGACGAGTTGAGTTTTTACCAAAAATATCTATTTTGGTTTCATCTGACCATATGACATTCTCCCAATCCTCTTCTGGATCATCCAAATGCACTCTAGCAAACTTCAGACGGGCCTGGACATGTACTGGCTTAAGCAGGGGGACACGTCTGCACTGCAGGATTTGAGTCCCTGGCGGCGTAGTGTGTTACTGATGGTAGGCTTTGTTACTTTGGTCCCAGCTCTCTGCAGGTCATTCACTAGGTCCCCCCGTGTGGTTCTGGGATTTTTGCTCACCGTTCTTGTGATCATTTTGACCCCACGGGGTGAGATCTTGCGTGGAGCCCCAGATCGAGGGAGATTATCAGTGGTCTTGTATGTCTTCCATTTCCTAATAATTGCTCCCACAGTTGATTTCTTTAAACCAAGCTGCTTACCTATTGCAGATTCAGTCTTCCCAGCCTGGTGCAGGTCTACAATTTTGTTTCTGGTGTCCTTTGACAGCTCTTTGGTCTTGGCCATAGTGGAGTTTGGAGTGTGACTGTTTGAGGTTGTGGACAGGTGTCTTTTATACTGATAACAAGTTCAAACAGGTGCCATTAATACAGGTAACAAGTGGAGGACAGAGGAGCCTCTTAAATAAGAAGTTACAGGTCTGTGAGAGCCAGAAATCTTGCTTGTTTGTAGGTGACCAAATACTTATTTTCCACCATAATTTGCAAATAAATTCATTAAAAATCCTACAATGTGATTTTCTGGATTTTTTTTTCTCAATTTGTCTGTCATAGTTGACGTGTACCTATGATGAAAATTACAGGCCTCTCTCATCTTTTTAAGTGGGAGAACTTGCACAATTGGTGGCTGACTAAATACTTTTTTCCCCCACTGTATTTCATGTTGCCCTGTGCCGTTCTACAAGTAAATGAGTCAACTGATGATGAGGTTGTGTAGTGGTTGACATTGTATATGACATTCCACAGACCTTTTAACCTAATATTGAGGTGATAATTAATGGGGTCCTATTGGTTTGTTTTTGCTGTTCTCCAAATAGCATTTTAGAGTTTTTAAATTGTGTAGAAATGCAGTAAATGAGCTTCAACTTCCAACATATTCCTTGGAATTTGCCATACCCTAGGTTTAGCTGAACTGACGCCGCTGGATTTTGGCATTGGTGCGTAAGATGTCTATTTCAGCAGCCACATTGATGTGTGTTCAGGGCGCCACAGTGCAAGCAAGCATTTAACTCGCATTTGCAAATAAAAATTGAGTTAGAAGCCATGTATGAGCACATTTATAGCAAAATAAATGCTGCAGTAGCTGTTTTCAAACTGTTTCTGTCATTTTGTTTCATAGCTGGTAGCTAATCACCAGTGGGTAATGTAACTAAGTAAAAATTAAGTACTACTTAAGTAGTTATTTTTGTATATGTACCTTACTATTTCGATTTGACAACTTTTTATTATACTCCATTACATTCCTAAAGAAAATATATACTTTTTACTCCCATACATTTTCCCTGACAAAAGTACTCATTGCATTTTGAATGCTCAGGCAGGACAGCAATATGATCCAATTCACGCACCTATTAATATAATGCGTTGTCATCCCTACTGCCTCTGATTAGGCGGACTCACTAAACACAAATACTATGTTTGTAAATTATGTCTTAGTATTGGAGTGTTTCCCTTGCTGTCCATAAAAAAAAAAATTGTGCCATCTGGTTTGCTTAATATATAAAGAATTAAATGTAGAGCATTTACTTTTACTCAAGTATGAACATTTTGTACTTTTCCCACCACTTTACTTAAATACATTTAAAACCAGATAGGCTACTTTTAGACTATATACACTGAGTATACAAAACATTAGGAACACCTTCCTAATATTGAGTTGCACCCCCTTTTGACCTAAGAACAGCCTCAATTAGTCGGGGGATTGACTACAAGGTGTCGAAAGAGTTCCACAAGGATGCTGGCCCATGTTGACTCCAATGCTTCCCACAGTTGT